GTAAGAGTGTCTCAAGTGATTCTACAACTCTCTTGAATGCTCTCACTGGACTAGTGAGTCAAGTGTTTATGCTGCTAATCACTACTAGCATCATTAACAATACTCTATTGAAACTAAACACAATCCTGTAAGCTCTCTACCTGCAATTAGCACCGTCCCGTATGGAACATCTTTCCAGGCAATTTCCTGGACAAATTCACAGAGGTGCAAAATATTCATTTAAATCAAAACAAGACATATTATCTGTGCTGATTGGTATATACACTTTCTTGTTAGCAGTATAACGTCCACACACTATAGCTTAAGTACATCAAGTAGTAATGTAATTAAGTCGTGACGTCATATGTAAGTTTTAATTAAAGTTTCTTTGTTTGCTCAGCACGTTCGTAACGATACTTTGAACAAAGGTTCCGTAGAGTATTTTAGTTTTGAAAGTGCGGTTTATACCTACTACGCATGCCCTCTGTCATGAATAGAGCATATTTCTATGCTCATATTTTCGAGGAAGGTCGCTCTGAATGAATTTAAGTTATGACGTCAATCCATGTTTTTTTTTGTTATTTCTGCACGTTCACGTCGGTGCAGTACAGAAGCCGTTGAATCGCCATTCTACGGCAACTTACCGTGCTACTGTTGGGCATTGAAACTGCAATGCCTTTGTTGGGAAACTTAAGTCACTTGTTAAGTTTAATTTTAGTAACTCAAGAACTATAGGAACCGACTTAATGCAAAAGAAAAGATCAACGTCATATACTAGAGAGAATAACACTGGTCGCATTTACGTACGTAAAACGCGCGTCTTAGTGACGCAAGGTCTAACAATACGTATCATTCTTGCCCGTGATCAGGAATCACGTTTTACTTCATAGAGTCAGTTCAGTTGCTAGTTCTGGTTTCAATACAAGTTAATTTGATTAAAGTTTTTCAGCAGCTAATTTACAGGCCGTTAGCATTCACATATGAAGTATCTAATTGTTGTTTAAGTTATCATTTGTTTGTGTTGCAAAGGTTATAGATGACACGTTGTTTAAAAGAGCAATATAGTGACAAGAAGGTGTCAAAATAAATAAAGATGTTCCTATAGACTTCATATCATTCGCTTGTTGTCGTTTTTTTGCTTGTATGCAAAATTACTTTAATTATGTTTAAGGAAGAGTTTTTTTGTCTATATTGAAGTTACCTTTGGAAAACGTACTGCTTTCTGGACTCAAAAAGACTTGAAAACAAAAAATAAACATATGGCTGACAAGCAGGAAGACAGCATGAGAAGATGCTCAAAGAGACAACGTATTACTATTAGTTGCTTATCTAAACCACGTTAGCTACAAATAAAACATGCCAAACTTACTTTGTTTTGTTTGTGTTTGTCAAAGAGTGAAGTCATGCAAATCCACAAAACATGCAGCATCCAGCAAAGAAAAGTTAAGATAAAGTCCTCCATCTTCTTCTTCTCGAGGCTACGAGTTGGTCGTCTATATGTTGTTATTTATACAAAATAGCGACGTCTAGTCATTTATAAAAGTCTCTTAAATACCAAGGGAACGTCAAACGAATGCTAAAGCAGTGTTTTATGGACGTCAAACTTGACAGCTGGATAGCTATAAACAAAAGCACTACTTTGTCTTTTGTTTGATCCATGCTGCGGAAGGCCAGGAATAGAAAGATTAAAGACGCCGAAATTCTTTGGAATTTGCTGGGACAAACTACTGAAAATGTTTGCATTGTAGTCACGACATACATTTGCTCCTTTGCTTGAAGAATGCCAAATTAGACTTGATTAAAATAACATCTATTTTTTCGAGTATATCTTAATAATCTCTTTTTTTTTTGAGTATATCTTAATACAAAGTTTTATAAGGTGCACCATCGTAGTTGAAAATGGTTGAAGTTGAACGTTTTTAACAGCAAAGAATTTGAACCCCCCTCTTTCTTGTTAAGCCAAAAAATTCAACTTAGTCAAGTTGGCAGTTTAGTTTTTCTTCTTTTTTATATTTCAAGTGAGCATTTATAAAAAAAAAACAAGGCAAAAACCGGGCAAAAGATGATAGCAACTGATATTTTTCATAAAGAAAGAATGACAATCACAACTAAAGGTAAATTCGATAATAATATTAACGTTGAATAAACTGAGATAAACGCTTAAGTAAAATCATTGGAAAAAGGAATAAAAATATGATGTTTTCATGCAAGCGACGGCGTTCTAGCTCCGTTCAGTAACGACCATGATTTAAATTTCTTTTCAGTTCTTGAACAGTTGCTACTATAATTTCATGTTCGCGAGTACTGAGCCTGGCTTACCTTGCAAAAGCTTGAAAGTAAGTCAAAACACATACAAGTGAAGTGTCTTTTCGTTGTTATATCTTGCCCAACTATCATGATGATTCATACTATTTCTATAACTACCATACAGTAGTTAAGCTCGAAAACGTGAAATAACACTTCGATTACGATCACATTTGTAAACTAAGACTAAAACGTCCTAATTTGCAAGTCGATGTTAGCCGTCAATTAAATCCGTTTTCCGCCCTAAACAATGGAAAGACAAAAAGATAAACGCTAAGAAAACAAAGAATAAAGAGGCGTTATTATCAAGCAACACTATAGCTGTTTAAGTACTGAGTTTTGGAATTCTTAATTTTGTAATGATATGAAGCTCTGCAACTTTTTAATAATCGTTAGAAAATCGAATCTCTATCATTAACGCAAGCAGTAATGAGCACAAATCATGTATAAATGATACTTACGGTAACGATTGCGCAGTTAAATATGATCAAAGTTTATAATATGGAATAATGCTTCATACTAAATTAATATATTCAGTTAGGATCCAAGTACGAATCCATTTGTAATCTTGGTACGCAAATCATAAGATTTATTACTATTTCAGTACGTAAAACGTTAGACCGATCGAGTATCAGAGGAGTGTGGACGGCACGTTTCCAAAGAAAGAACGTGCATTAACCATTAACATAACTCCATAAATTTTCAACGGCTATACGAGTAAACAAGTGCATCCTTTAGTATGTATTAAAGTGCTTTTAGTACGTGTTCTAAAACACGATAAGTTAACAATAATAAATTAATACAAGTAAAGTTTTAAAAACTAGCTCTTACTGCTTTAGTTTCATTGAAAACTGTGTGATTTCAAAATCAGTTGAGCTTGAACATGTTGAATGCCACAAAATTAACCCCATGAACCTCTTGCGTATTGGCTTCAATAAACACCTCAGCTCTATTTATCCCATTTTATTACTTATATTTTAGTTAATAAGAGAAAATGAAAGATAGAGACTAACTAAGAATAGTACTTTTCTTCATTATTTTTGATTGTGATCGGGAGGGGTTAAGTACTGTTAGTTGCGCAAGCATCCTCTGTACAAATCTCCAAAGCTCGTTTCCGTTCTTGGTTCGATAACTTTCCTTGCGTAATTGCAACATAATTGTTAACCTCAGGACAATATCATTTATGAAGCAAGCTCAGCAGGAATGTGTAACTTAAAATGTATATTAAGGAAACTATTAAACATTATTTAGAATTCAGCGCTGCAAATGAAAAGAGACCGTTTTCCTGCTACAGAGGAAACGAGGGTGGAATTACATACCATAATCTTTCTGAAAGAAAAATATTTTCATTCTCTTTTCGTTTTAGGATGAAAAATGCATTTATAACTCTACAGATAATGAAAAAACATAAGAACACTAGTCTGAAATACTTTCTCTTAGCATTTGATTCGGTTGAGTCAGTTTTTTCAACTTGGTTATTCATGGTATTATTAACACAACTAAGTAAAAATGATCTTACCTCACTCCCTCGTCGACCCATTCGTCTAGGTACTCCCGCTACGGAGCTACGTCGTTGCGCATGGACCTGTGCTAAAACTTGTGAGTTTCGTCTTCCAATGCGAACGGCTGGTGCAGAGATCTTTCTCTCGTGACGCTCAACAGGTAACTGTAGAAAGGAAAACCGCTATCAGGCCAAAATCTTCACATTGCATTAAAATTAGAGAAGCTTACTAAAGGTCTATTCTCCTTTACAGCCGTTTAAAGATAGAAATCCAGTAAATAACTCTTCTACAAACAAGTTTACTGGATCGCGACCAGAAATCGCTGCAGGAGGTATTTTGCGTTGAGGATGTGTTGTTCTCATTTTTTCTAATTATCATAAATGTCAACGTTGTAAGCGAGTCCTAAGCATTTCATAACCTTATTATTGTTCGCAATTAAAAGTTACTCCAAATGAAAATCATATTTTGAAATATGACGCAGGATTATACCATGATTTGTTTTAGTGCATTGTGATGTTAGCCGGGAGTTAGGTCAACAGAGGGCGCCTTGACACGATCTGGCAATGCCTATATCACAATGAAAGTCGGTGGTGAAGTGTGATCTGTCTTAAACCGTGGATTACATATAACTTAAAATTATAATCTGACTCAGTTCTGTTTGAAGGCAAACATTCTAAAGAGTGATAATGCGCCGTGTTTGGTTTACTATTGTAGTCAAGGTTGATTATGATTAAAACTATCACGCATACAATAATGACTTGGTATTTGTATAGATAATAAATACCCTGTAATACCTATAGACGTTAAGCAAATACAGACAAAACTGATCTACATCTATATATTCACCAATTAACAATTCAGCCCACAAGCTACTTGGCATAAATACGAGCTATTTCCGTCCGTGGAGAGATTACAATTTCAAATCATTTATTTTTTGGCTTGTAGTCTTTACCATCACTATTCAATTTCATATTTTTCGCTTAAAGCGAGAAAATGTTGACTTAATAGCAATTTGACTTGCTATCAAAGTGAAAACGGTATATTGTCATGAAGTTGTTGATACAGCACGATTAATACAGCCTTAATTACGCGTGCTAGTAATTAGAATATCAAGAAATCTCTCACCTGCAGTTCGTCTGCCATTATCGATTGTATATATCATGTACTAGTGTTCAAATAGATGCAATGCTTCTCTTTGTTTATATATACGAATATAGTAMGTATCAGTTAACAATTGATGGTTATCTAAAGCTCTTCTAATTGACTGTATGGATCACTAACCAAGCTCGCACTTCAATTAACGCTCGTAAGGGACTATGGGTGAAATCCACTCCTACTAAAAAGCGACAATTTGAAGGCGTTAGTCTAGTTTTGAATAATTGCTGCCAAGTAGCGAATTTATTCAACACTGGCTCTTTTAATTATGCATATCCTTGAATTTTGTGTATAAAAACATTCGTATGGCGAAGTAATTTTGACCAATTTTTCAATTGATTGAGTGCTTAGGGCGAAGGAACTTCAATATCAATATAACAACAACCTTAGATGATAGTATCACGTACTGTAGAAAAAGATAAATTGCTGCCAACAACATTGAACGTCAATCAATAATTGATGCACTGACTAGTTGTAAACAAAAATATTTAAAAGTTATTCTTAAGTGAGATCGCAAGTGATCACGCGAACATAACGTTCACACTAGATTTTTTAAATAATACAAGATTTGCAAAAACCCTTAGATATCAATTCGAGGGATCATTGATTGAGTGTAGCGTATCACTGTTGAGAGCAGCGTGGTGTTATTCGTGTGCCAAACGAGAATGCAAATCAACTGCATATGACCAACGTTTTTTTGTCGTTGATAGGGTATCGGTGCTTGGTCGAAAAGCATGAAAAATATTGCAAAACGTAAATATGATACTTTTCGCGTTTTCTTTACGCACGACCCTTACGTAACGTCCACATTACCTTACGTACCGTCGACACAAACTTACGTAATGGCCACACAAATTTCGCTTCATTCGTTAAAGTTTTTAAGAGCTCCTTATTTCAGGCAAGAATTTATATTAGTCTTTTGTAATAATAAACACGTTCTCTTTTTCTGTCACTTCTGAAGAGCAGCCACGTGACGAAGCAAAGCTTAAGTGGAAATGATAATTTATGAGTACTGTCAAACTTGAATTCTTCACTTGAGTTCATAAAGCGCAATTAACCGATTCAAACGTGTAGGTAAAGAAGTTATTTGAAGTGATAGAACGAACGAGAGGATAGAATGACGTTGACGGAAGTCCCTGAAATGAATGGTCGAATGAAGATAGAACCTTTCGCGCTATTTTTGTATCCCTGACATAGTTATATTCCTCGGTGAGAGAAGAAATCAAAGCAAAAGTTCACCGGGATGTTGTCGTACATTCATAAAAACAAACGATCACATTGAACATGTTGAAAATGGAAATTAAAAGAACTGAGTTTGTTTATAAAAGATTTCCTTTCAGAATTTCAACGCCAGTGTAAGCAGAAAGCGGAATTGCTCTTGTCATCGCAAAAGCGCGCGTGACTGAACGCAAGCCCGGGGTGCACATGTGCAAGCATTAATTCAAATACATACATCCTGACAAAAAGACAAAAGGAAAATTGCCGTCTCTCTAATCTAAGATATTTGTTAAAGTAACGGTTTAATCTTTTGATGGTTTTCTTGTGAATGAAACTTTATTTCCAACGTATTTCAGATTCATAATGTTTTCAAATTCGTGATGCAAAATACCCAAGGGATTAGATTTGTAAACTCAAAATACATTCATTAGAATCTTCACTTGTTTACGAACTGCACTGATAATTATAAATTTGCAATTTAGAATGTTTGATCAGTTACCAGCTTTCATTAAAACCCACTTAGGTAACACATCGATGATAATTGCGATATGTTTCATTGTTACTTACTTTTCTCGAGTGCCCTGTGTGTTGAATAGGCATCATGGACAGAACCATTAACATCCGTGATTATAACGTTATAGATCTTCTGTTCTAGAACGTTTGATCTTTCAATTTAAGCAATCGTGGTATACAATACTGATATTAAGGTCATTATGCCATTGATTCTTATTATTTTGTTATGAGTTACCAATAGAAACGATGGAATGATTCAGATATTTTCATAAGGACATGGATTTATATCTCTGTTCCCATTGGTTAGCTGTTGTCATTATATTTACCAAAGATATGGACGATTGACCTTTTAAGTGCTAAGCTCCATTATAAAACTTTATCACAAATCCCTTTTACAGCAAGCGTTGGACAATTGGTCCCTGAATGACGTACATGTAAAACTAAATAGAATGTACAAGGTATTGTGCTCACTGCCGCTTAAAATCAATGTCAATCACTGGTGACCAATTAAAGACGGAGTGAGAAGAGCGCCTGCCTCTTCCGTAAAACGTCGTATTTCCTAATTGCCAAGTGCTGGTGACATTTTCAATCGACAGCGCACAGTCCTTCATGAAAGGTATATTGCTATATTTGTAGACAGTGTCATCGGGAATAGACGTCAAGAGTGTCAGATTATATAATTTATATTACATTGGTTCCCCGGGCATCGAGAAAATTTTATAAATTTCCTCATACAATAAAGGGAGGGGGAGACGTTTCATCTCTAAAGACTTAAACGGATGCAGAATCTATATATGCGACCCCCCTGGATCCACCACTTAGCACATGTGAACCTTTATGGTTCAGTAAATACAATTGTAACATCTTAAATTAATCTAGTTTTGTTTATATTAAATATCGATATGAGTGAATGATGTTTGTTGGCTCTTTTCACCGCTATAAACTATGCAAAGACATTTACAGTAGCAAATATAGGTCATGCAACAATTTAGTTAATAACGCCTCGAGGCCCTATAAATACATAGTGATATAAGCTATGCTAATACAATCATTCGTGCAGAATTTAAGGTAATCGAGGTAATTGAGGGTGATGATAGTGCTGTTTAACCAATCTATTATATAACTGATCAGTCTGCTCACCTTTAATACATATTTAATAACATAACAATACAATTCAGTTATCACTAACACGTTAATCTGCTGAGATGTTGATTGATGAATTGGTTGATTGGAGTGTTGAATTGACATGCTCACGACTACTTCACAAACTACAACATTTGTTGCGGTTTTCTTCTGACAACGTGCTCAAATTAACCAACATTTACCGTTACAACTCAATAGTGAAACATACCAATATCAATCAATAAGTACTGCCTTTTCTATTGACTTAAATGACGAGTTATATACCTAAATGACTAGAGCTAGATTCTTACCATATTTGAATCCTTTGCCTCGCCACTCATATTGTTCCTGCTCTTTATTCCTTTTGAATGCAGACTTTCATTGGACCATTTATGCAGCAATCCCTATAGCGTGAATAAGACCAACTAAGTACAACTTAATTTCCAGTAAACAACGCTTCAAAAACATCAATCAAATGATCTACCTAAGGACTTATCTATCAGCTGACTTAAGATTACTTTCAGCAGTGAATATAGAACAGCATCTCAGAAAGAGTGTTTATAACCAGCATGTAGCCTGTAGGTTCACAAAAGCTCATGGAGACTAGGATGAATTACAATTAAGTAAAGGACGTCCCGCGTTCATAATTTCAAAATACAGCTTTGCATGACTAAGCGGTAACGTGTGAATGAATTAAGCGCAATGACGAGTGACATCAGACTGAGATAAGACAATGTTACTCTGGAGCTTCCATAGGACCTCCTACAGACTCGAGAGACTGGGACCGATATAGAATGTTTTACATGCACACAGGTCAAATAGCGTCTGCTGAGAGAAGATGTCTTGATGATCAAATTCTTTCACGATGATATATTGTCCTTGAGATTTGGCCAAGCTAGAGGTCACTTTCTCAACTTAATGCATAGGATAGCTGTGGATCTTTGATGGCTGAAATCTGCGCAGGACTGCTAACGCACATCAAATTCAAAAATAATACATTTAGTCGGAATTAGAAGGCGGTAATGACTGCTTTTCTATGAAAACACCCAGGAAAGGCGTGGTGGTTAGGTGTGGAGAGCACTGGAGAAGTTGTTCCTGGATTTCCCAGTTGCGAGGTCTTCACAGAATGAGACGCACGCTGGTCTTAAACCTTCCTTTCACCTTTCTTCTGTTTTTGTTCAGTTCAGCGCAGGAAATCCAAAACCGTACCAGGAATTCCGATGAATTATTCGAATGGAATTCAGCAGAAGGCTTAAACTAATGGCACGCAAAGATAATGTACGTATACTGGACTAGGTCTTCTATCGCAAATTATTAGAGTTTCTATGCTCTGAAAATGGCCGACTTTCACCCTAATTCTCTGTTTAATGACATACAATGCTACCTCAACTGAGATCGTTTTCAAATCGACCAYTTCCAGATAATCGTATTATTGAGTGATAAGTGCAAAGTAGATGACAAATCTAGCACCCAATTATACAGTGATAAACCATTTCCGCACCGTTATCTATCCATCTAGAAATTAATAGCTCAATCGACCGGTGGTGTTAGTTTTATTGAAGTCTTTTTGTTCTTTGGTATTAGACTCAATTGTTTTATAAGGTCATTAGGGCTGATTTGTAGGACAACACAGAAGACCATAACCTGTTATCAGAGGCAACAAAGGCATGCCGAAACAACAGCAGTTCTAATCTCTGAACCAAAAACAAACGGAAGACTGTTTTCTTTGACATAGTCTTTACAATTTACATTTATTAACTTCGACAAGTATGTATTCGATGTTTTAAATAAAAGACCACCCTTAAACGTTTTGTAAAACGAGTATAAATAGTTAGATGCATTTCCAACTCAAAACCAGAACTGAACAACATGATATTTCTCAAAAACAATGTCGTGTCGTGTTTTGGTTTGCAGTAGTCAATACTGATCCAAATACAATGGATGACAATAAACAAGGGCGTAGTATCATTTAGTTATCAAAAGATAACAAAATAACTTACTTGAAATCGTTCATCTTGAAGAAGGCCCCGAAGATCAACTGAACGTTTCATACTATCTTTCTCGCATTCATGGTGGCATGTAAAGTTATGATTCTCTTCTAATTCTAGAGTTGTGTTGATTCTTCTACGAAAAACAGCAAGCAAGTCTGTAGGATCTGTATACGAACGCTGGCGTAATCCTGAACATCGACCTCGAACGACTCGCATTCCATTGGCATCAAGAGACGATGCAGTCACATCGCCGTTTTGCGTCCTGGACCTGTAGGCAGAAAAACACATGGTTATTGTTACACAAACAAGTATAGCTGATGCGGTCAACTAAGCTTAAGCAAAATAAATTGAATCAAAAGTACTTTAGTAGAGTAATCTCCAACTTCTTGTCAGTATTCATCACATTCCACAGCTATATATATATACTAAACTGGTGATATTGAACGATGATGGACTTCAGTAAAATGAATCAAAGTCATGTTCTATATTCGAGCATCTTTGAAATTATTTAAGTGATTTTCTGATTGCTAGTTTGTCTGATTGCTAAACCTAATAAAACTTCGTGCACAAAATTATTCAATTAGGAATTAATTATTGCTAATTGGTAGCATAAATATAGGAAGTCTGTACCAACATGTACTATCTACAAACCTGCAGTGTTTCAGCGTTAACAAGTCTACAGTCATCTCACACGAGCTAAGTGACGATATACATTATGATCGACAAGTGGGTGACAATATATAAAGGTTGATATGTGATAGTGACGTCATCATAATAGCAACATGGGGGACAATAAACACAAATGATTACGTTGTAAATACAGAATCCTCTACAATGTACGTCAGCCACCAAACCAGCGGTGTTCGTTGCACTTTACTATCATAAGTCTTATAAGTTTGCCAGTAAGCTGTTGTAAGTTTTATAGTCTAAGTGTGCTGTTTTGCTCAAGAGTATTATTACGTTCATGAAAAAGTCGACATAGTCCAGACTTTACTTTTGTAGAATAAACACAGTCAGCAGTCTGAGATAATGATTTAATACGATATTAAAATTGAGAAAACAGAATGAAATATTCTTAGATTTCACGACTAAATGTTTGAGTAGCGTTGTTTTTAGAATGGCAAGGATTATGTGATTCACCAAAAACTTCTGCTGGGCTGTAGATGAACTTGAAGAAGGCATGCAATTTTGCATTTATCATTTCATTGAAAAAAAGGAATTTTTGCGCGAGTGAAATATATCATTCTCAATCTTTGATTAAATGCGGTAAACCATTTAATTAACAGTTTGGATATTCATTGAGTTGTTCAGAGATGTCGAAGCTTTGTTCCACTGTCAATCATGGGGTGCTAATCGATTTTAACTGAATTGGTCTTTATCTGTCATAAGTAATTACCAAAAACTTATATCTAACTTGTTAACGTCCATCGATATGAACAAATACTGCGTGCTTTAGTGGTATTTATACTAAGAAAACAGTTAGGACTCGTTCTTAGTACTCAACAGTCCTCCGTTCGTTGGTTTATTTGGGCTTCAGTGACGTCATAGGTTGTATAAGAGGACGGAATTCTATGATTCTACCATCATACATGCTTGAAATGAATAAAGGATTTTAATTCTACATAAATAATAACTCTAGATATCTCAACCTCATGTCAGACCGATTAATCAAGTACTATATTCCATCATTTTGAACAATATAAGTCATCGTGAATGATCTTAGGATTTACTCTTACTGAAGATCTTAATTCCTCCTAAAACCTATCTCTTCATCGCATCTATTTTAATCAAACTTACCGTAATCGTCTTTGTCCTGTTCTATGATATTCTCGCCTAAGGTTATAAAGTCCCATGTCAAGTAGTAAAACTGCCAGTGAATACTTCTAACTGGTAATAACTAACTTTGGTATTGTCCAGACATTGTCCAGATTATCATTGCTTGGTATTGTACTGTACACTTGCTATTATTCACAGGGATTACCTGAATAGAATACGTACAAAGCCAAACATTCGACTATTTCGAAAGAAAAAGAAAAACGTTTCGGAAGACATATTTATTTAATCTGCAAACTCTCAGCGACCACAGAAATTTGAATTCGAACATGTTCAGGGCCGTAGCCAGGGTGAATGGACAACCGAGGCAAGCGGCCGCCGATGGCGGGAGAAACTAGGGGGGTCTGGGGGCATTCTCCCCCTAGAAAATTTAAAATTCAGTCTCTCGGAAATGCAAGTTGCAGCGTTTTGTGGGCCTTTCGGTAACTCTTTATTGAACAGATTTAACCGGAATTCATCATGCAATATTTATGAAACAAAGAAGCTACACGTACAAAATTACGTACAAAAATAACATTATTTTTATATTTTTTTGCACAAAATCAGTCGTACGAAATCGGCTCTGAGAGGMTAAGATAATATTAGTGATGAAGAACAAAAAGCATCGGCAAAATTTTACCGAGGCGAGTGCCTCGGTTGGCCTCTTACTAGCTACGGCCCTGAATTGTTTTCGTTTAATACCACAACATCCAACTTCACCTACAAATTGTCCTTTTGCATAAAACGATCACATGATACTAAATCCACCATACTGGATGGGAAAATACTAACTGGGATGTTCAAAATAGAGAAAAGTCAAGTTTGACGGGCTGCTGTTTTCATTCTTTTAGTACCATCTGACCGTTTCGTCATGCAAAAGGCCTATTAAAGCTGTCATCCTCCAAAGAAAACTAAGCAGGAAATTCGAAGCTCAGATGAATAAAACCTAATGAAAAAAAAAACAACAACATGAAACAAAACCCTTGGTTACTGGAAAAAAAAATTGTGATTCGAGACTTTTTCGGGGCACGGATTTTAAAGACTACTTTTAATCGAATTTATATATACGTGCCAGAATGCAGAAGATGCAGAATTTACCCAGARTGCAGTACGGCCTCCACGCATCATATCCTGCCTGAATATTAACGATCATTCACTAGCATGTATTTCCAATGATCAGTCTCCAGTCAATACTCAAATACTGACACCAAACCCGTGCTATAATTGCAGGGGCGGATCTAGGGGGGGTGAATAGGGTGGCTAGCCACCCCCCATTTTTCTAAGCTCTTCTTTCTTTTTTTTCTCTTATCCCTCAAATATTTAAATATTAATGATTTCTCCAAAGACTGATTGATTCTACCTAYTATTTGCCGAGCATTTACGGAACTCCATCCAAGGAGGATGGTGGAACAATCACTTTTGGGGCAGTAAATAGATTAGATGACATTAGTGGGTGTAATGTATATTCGTGTGTACACGGTAAACTCTCATTGTTCTTGATAAATACTAGTTTTAAACGTGAGAGATTCTTTGCTTCAAGTGAGCATTGCGTACTAAATTCCGCTTAAATTTGTTCAATAAAGAGTTACTAAAAAGGCCCACAAAACGCTGCAAATCGCATGTCCGAGAGTCTGGATTTCAAAATTTCTCGGGGGGATGCCCCCCRACCYCCTRGGGGYWCCCGGCTTCGRCGTTTGGCTTCCATTTTATTACATTATTTTAGCAATTCACCCCCCACTTCAAAGTCCTGGATCCGCGCCTGAATTGTTATATTGAGAAATGCTATTATCACTTAATTTACAGTTTATTCATGAGTGTTTGGATAAACAATGACGAAACTTAAATTGACTTATGCTATATAAATCTGTATCTGTATCTGTATCTGTATCTGTATCCATGTATCTGT